AGTTCCAACTTCACCATCATGCACTAGCCCTTCGGTACTTTTTTTTTCCTCCAGTATCTCATCTTCAAAGGACAGAGGTTCTCAACCTTCCTCCTCTTACTTGAGTGAACCGTGTAACACAGAAGTCAGAATTGTAAACCCTTCATTTGCTCACACTCTGCAGAATAAAAAATGAGTCTGTACCTACCCCCTGCCTTGGGAAATTAATCCATCAATAGCACTCAGGTTTGCAAAAGGATTTTTATATCTCAAACTCTACCAAGGTTTATTTTATTATGAATAGACTAGAATGTGAAAGGTAAAGGAAGACAAAAAGTGGGCTATTTATTCCCGATGACTAATAATACAGTAGCAGACTTCAGCAGGGCAAGAAGTTAAACCATATACAATATTTTTAATTGACATTGGTCATAAAATCCTAAAACAATCAACCGACAACAAAAGGTACTCACTTAACTCTTGCCAAATAACGCATCAGTCTTCAAGCTACAGTATTTTTAGCCTTCCCAGTACAAATAAAATTAACCACCTGTCACTCTAAAAAGTTTAAGGCTGCCTTATAGAATATATTTTAGTATTTTTTAAAATAGAGAAGATAAAGAATCCAAAGTAATTAAGAGTTCCTTTTTCCTTCTACAAGGCTGAGAAAGAAGTTAACTTCTATTATAAAATAAAGTCCAATATGAGATTGAAATAAGTTTATACATTTTCACAACTTAAGCCCCAACTTTGCAATCACTCTTTCAGAAATATATTCAATATACGTACTTACGGACTAGCGCAAAGACTTAAATACTAGTTGTTCACTATAGCAGCATTTGTAGAAAGCTAAAAACAACCTAAATGCCTGTTAACAAGGAAATGATAAAATAAATAATGGAAAATGAATAAATTATGGTTCATCTACACTATGCAGGATATTCAGTCTTTTTTAAAAATCAGGAGGGGGCTCCTGGCTGGCTCAGTCAGTTAAGCATCAACTTTGGCTCCAGTCATGATCGGAAGGTCTGAGCCCTGAGTTCAACCCTGAGTCAGGCTCAGTGCTGACATCTGGAGCTGCTTCGGATTCTGTCTCCCTCTCTCCCTGCCCCTCCCCCACTCGCACTGTGTGTGTGTTTCTGTGTGTGTGTGTCTCAAAAATAAACCTTAAAAATAAATAAATACATAAATAAAAATAGAAATCAGGTGGACATACGTGCTAATACAGAAAAGTCTCTAGGATGTATCCAGGGTAAGAACGAAAGACAGAAGACATTTCTCCTAAACACCGGCAACTACATGTGCAATAAAACATTTGGAGAAGGATATACAGGAAACCACTCAGTGGTTGCTGGGATGAGAGGGTGGGAGAATAGCAAAGAGAAAAGGCTAGAAGTCTGTTGTGGAAAGGAGGCTTCCTGCGCACCATGTAACATTTAAAATGTCCTGGCAGTTTTTAAAGCCCCACCAACGCCTCCTGCGCCCAGGAAGTGGGCCCGCTCCTTGCACGTCCACGTCCACGTCTTCCCTCCTCCCAACCACTTATCTCCACCGCCCTCCTCACCACTAGATCCAAACAAAAGCAAATCTCAGAGTTCCCCCAAGAAACAGAATTCTCCCTCCAGCCCCCCACCAGATAAAGGAACAAGAGAACAAATGAAAAGGTATAACTTTTGAAGCGTCTGGGTGGCTCAGTCGATTAAGCGTTGACTTCGGCTCAGGTCATGATCTCGCAGTTCGTGGGTTCGAGCCCCGCGTCGGGCTCTGTGCTGACAGCTCAGAGCCTGGAGCCTGTTCCAGATTCTGGGTCTCCCTCTCTCTCTGACCTTCCCCTGCTCGCGCTGTCTCTCTGACCTTCCCCTGCTCACGCTGTCTCTCTGTCTCTCTCTCCCAGAAATAAATAAAACATTTTTAAAAATTTAGAATAACTTAAAAAAAAAGTATACCTTTTGCTAAACACAGGTTTTAGCCAACGTTTGATTCCTTTTAAATCTGGCCTCATTTGGGGCACCTGGGTGGCTCAGTCAGTTAAGCGTCCAACTTCAGCTCAGGTCATGATCTCACGGTTCGTGGGTTCGAGCCCCACGTCGGGCTCCGTGCTGACAGCTAGTTCAGAGCCTGGAGCTGCTTCAGATTCTATGTCTCCCTCTTTCTCTGACCCTCCCCTTCTCACACTGTCTCTCTCTCTCAGAAATAAATTTTAAGTTAAAAAAATTTTTTTTAAATCTGGCCTCATTTACTGTAGGGCAAAAAGTTTTCAAAGTCAAAGTAAAGTGTGCAACACACAAAAAAATCATTTCCAAAAGTGTCTTAAAAGGAAAAATGGAGAAAAAGGGCAAATTTTGCCCAATCCCTTCCTTCTGAAATTCTAAAAGTTGAGTTTTGAATGATGGCCATAAAGTCTATTGTCTGCAAGCTGGATAAGGTAGTACATTTCCCAGGTTAAAGGTCCATGTCTCCATTCAGAGTCTCAGGAAAGCAATCAACAGCTTACAAGGAAAAGGGTGTGAAATGGCCTGTTTGTAGGTGCAATGGACAGGGCTCCTCTGGCGAAGACAGAACTGTATTTTCTCTTAAATGTTTCTCATCAATGTTCCCGCATGCTGTAGGGAGCATTTCTTCTTCTATACATCATCAGTTCTGTCCCTTTTCACATTGGAGCAGGGTAAACAATTCACAAAGAGCTTTACAAGAAAGAGCTCTCGTTTCTGGTAAAGATCCGTTTTGGATTTTGTTTTGAGAGAGAAAGAATCTAATTGCTAAATATACCCTCATATCACTTTTTTCCTTCATTATGGAGATGCTTAAATCCTAACATAAGAAGCCTTCTTTTTTTTAATTAGTATTATTTTTATTATCATTTAAATCCAAGTTAGTTAACATGTCTTGTAATAACGATTTCAGGAACAGAATTTAGTGATTCATCACTTACACAGAACACCCAGTGCTCATCCCAACAAGTGTCCTCCCTCCTTAATGCTCCTTGCCCATTTAGCCCATCACCCCATCCCCTCCCCCGCCCCAAACCCCTCCAGCAACCCTCAGTTTGTTCTCTGTATTGAAGAGTCTCTCATGGTTTGTCTCCCTCCCTGTCTTTATCTTATTTTTGAGAAAGAAGGCTTCTCTTGCATATCTACCTATCAAGATGGATAGTTACGGTGGTTTTCACAAGGGATTTTCCAAAAGGGAATCTCTGTTCGCTGGGAACTGAAACTCCTAATTAAGTCACTATGGGCTGGACACAAATCAAAAGCAACATTAGGGAACACTCTATATAAGAATGGATAAGAAAGTAAGATGCCAAAATTTAGTCAAAGAATTAAAGGAATCTGGCAAGCAAGGCCAACTTACCACTACTTTACAAGTAATAACTAACTAAAGTTCTCTATAAATGAAAATCAAGGTAACATGAGCTCAATTTCAAAAAGAAGAAAAAGAAAACAAGGCTAAAAGTATCAAGTATTCCGTGATTCAAAGTTATTTTGCTTAACATTTTTAAAGCCAAGGATGATCAAATTACACTTCGGCAATAAAAAGTTATTTCTAGTTTACAATGCATCCATTCCAGTAATAGATCATCACTTCAATATACTTTCTTCTATAACAGAACTTATGTAAGAACTCAGTATAGTCTCATTCCACATTTTTGAAGATTCGTAAAATAGGTGAGGCGTTTGAGTCAAAGGACTATTTTGTAACTGTAGCCTCTTCCAGTCAACTTTTTTAGATCTTTTCACTGACATTTACTTTGTTTCTAGACACCTTTATGTAACTTCCCACATCTGGCCAAAAAGAGGAGGGGGGTGGGGTAAAATTCCAACAATACACTGAACTAACAAACTATCCTAAAGCCAAACATTCTGCAAAAGTTCAATTTTTATTGCCTTTTCATGCTGCATAACGATGAAGTGCCCACCGGCAAATCTAGCAGGACACAACAGCACACTTCATACAAAATGACGGAAGACTTCTAATAAAACAGGCTTCCCTCTCTTCCAAGCCGAAGACCCGCATCAATGACTCACAGAGTGACCTAACTTTCTAAATGAAATCACATTTTCTGAAATTCTTACTCCAGCATGAATCTAACACCAAGTGACCGTCTCTGTAGTCGCTGAGCAGGATAAACAGAGGTTCGGCGGGGTTAATCGTCCAAGGCTCCCCGACGACCGCAAACCTCACGTCCGTGCCCACGAACCTGCAGCTGCAACTGCACCCCGACACACAGACCCACCCCCCGACCACGTCAAGAGTCACCCCCAACGTTACGAACCCGCCACCCGTGCCCGGATCGCCGTCCCCCCGGTTCCCTTTAGTGCACCCACGTTCTCTTCCCACTGTGAGAACGTGAAAAATTAATGGCTACTATCTTCACATAGTCTCTTTCGGCCACTTAAACGACCCTGCAGTTTTTCTGTTCGAGGCAGAACTGCTGAGTCATTAAATGGAGACCCAAAGAAAAGGAGCGACGGACCGGCGCAAGTTCAGGGACGGGACCTGCGCCTCCACGGGGAGCAGCGGAGCACACACTCCTCGCCCCAATAGGAAAGGGAAAGAGGCGCGCGCCCTTGGGTGCGCGGCTTCCGCCGGAGAGCCCAGGCCGGACGCCAGGCCCGCCCGCGGCCGGACAACTGGGCGGCCTGGGCGTGAGCAGCACCGCGTCCCCATCGAGCACGAGCCCCGACGCTCCTCGCGGGCGCCTGCTGTGCCCGCGCTGCGGTTCGGGTCACGGAGGAAGAAGAGACTCCCGTCAGAACGCGGCGCCCTCCACCGGCCTGAGCCGCGCCGGGCGGCCGAGCGGGGGCCCCGAGCGCCGGGGGCGGGGGGCGCGCGGCCCCGCGTAGCTCTCCCGGCCTCGCGCGGACGGAGGGTGCGTGTCCGAGACCAGGCGCGCTGCCGCCGGGCGCGGTGGGCGTGGGGGCCGCGGCGAGCGCGCCCCGGAGCCGGCGGGGAGGCCCGGCCCCGGCAGGGCTCGGCGGCGGCGCGGGCGGCCGGGCTGCAGGCCGGGGAGCGGCCCTTACCTGTCCGCGGGCGCGGGCTGGGACTGCGGCGCCGCCCGCGAAGGGCCGGGGCGCTCGGCTCGGCCGCCGGCTCCCGGACGGGCGAAGAGCGAGGAGCGGCGGGCGAGGGGCGCGGCCGGCGCACTGGGTCCCGGGCTCCCGGCCAGGCTTGCCCGGCGCGCGCGGCGGGTCGCTCAGTCACGCCGGCGGCCCCCGCGGCGCGGCGGCTGACACACAGACAGCGGGACGCGGCCCCCGAGAGGAGCCGCAGCCCCAGCGGCAGCCGAAGGAGGCGGCGGAGGGGCGGGGCCGCGGGGTCGGCGACCCGCTCACCCGGAAGCAGTTGCGGCCGCGGCGGCGCGCGCGGCGGGCCGGGCGGGTGCGCGGCCTGGCGCGGCGCTGCGGGCCTCCCGCTGCTGCGGCGGCGGCGGCGGCGGCGGCGGCGGCGGGGGCCCCGCGGGGGGCCGGAGCCGGGGCGGGCGCCCGCTCGAGGCCGCCCCTGCCCTGGCCGCCCCGGAACTGCCCGGCCTCGCGGGCGCGGGTGTGCGGGCCGGGCGGCGGCTCCGACGGCGGGGAACGGGCGGGCCGGAGCGGGTGCAGCGGCAACGCTAGAAGCCTTGTTTCCAGAATGAAAACCCGTGATTTTAAAACGATTTCCGGGGAAGAGTGCGGCGGGGGCTGGGGAGGGGGCACATGGCGGGGACGTAGAGGCGGTTGAGCATCTGCCGGACGCGGGCCTGTCGTTCGTTCTGGAAGCGCGTCTTGAGACTCCGCAGGTTCAAGGCGCTGGAGGAAGACCAGGGCCCTGCTCCGTGGGAAGCGCGCCTTCTGGTGAGAAGCCAGGTAATGACAGAGCGTGGGCAGGGGAGGATGTGTGGGCGGCACCCCGTTTGGGGGCTGGATGGCTCGAGAGCCCCCGCAGGGAGGTGATGGTTGAGCTGCTTCCTGAGACAGAGGCGTCAAATACAGATTTGCAGCCAGGGGCTGGAGGTTCAGAACTGCCGAGTGAGTCCAGGATTCCTGTTTATTTGAAATTTTCTTTTTAATGTTTATTTTTGGAGAGAGAGGGGCACAGAATCCGAAACAGGCTCCAGGCTCCGAGCTGTCAGCACAGAGCCCGACGCGGGGCTCGAACTCACCAGGGGTGAAATCATGAGCTGAGCCCCAGTGGGACGCTTACCCGACCAAGCCAGGCGCCCTCTCTAAAGCGTTCTAAGGGCTCTTTCTGTGCTGTCCACCCCTTCAGTTTCAAAAGGCTGGCTCCCCCTTGGGGGTTGATGGGGTCTGGGACTGTGGCCTCTTAGCAGAGAGATTCAAGGCCTGAATCAGACATCAAGAGATACTTGAAGGCAACAGCCCCGAAAGCGAAATTCTTTAATCCTTTACCGTTTCTTTTCCCACGTCACTTTTTCCGAAACCCATGAGTAAACATTAAAACTATGATTTTTATCTGAGATCAAGAGGAGCTTAATCCTCCCAAAAGATTGAACTCCGCTATGATCTGAATAAAAGAATTAATGACCTAATTTGCTAACTCAAAGTTAAAGACAAAGTTAAAAGCCGACTTGCAGAGAGAGGACCTATTCAGGTTGTAATGCATTACCTGAATAATACCAGTAAACCCAGTAATTTTGATAAATATTCATTTACATAATTGCATAATTAACGACGATTGTTTGGATAATAGTGAAATTAGATTCTAATAGTGGGAGCCCTTTTTATTTACTCCTTAGCCATCTGTTTGGCTGCACACCAAGCTAACAGAGAAAGAAATATTTTGTTGTGTCTTCTGGGAAAACTGGGAGCGAGCTCACCCTTACTGCTTACTGTTTACCAGCATTGTGCTAGGCATTTAAATATATTATCCCTTTCAGGACTGGGACTAACCTTGAGATATGGGTATGATTGATTATACCCATTTTAATAACAAAGGCAGTAGCTGGAAGAGTCAGAATTTGAACTCAGGTCTCTCTAGCCCTAATTCCCCCTTGGCACCATGTTGCTAGACTCTAATATTTAAGAAGGAAATGTAAGTGAAGTGTCCGGCCAAGCAGATCTCTGTGTTGCTTTTGGAATTTTATGATGGAAATAAGCTTTAAGGTAGAGTGATAATGAGGCAATTTTGTAGCTTCTCTGTGTTTTTACTTCTCTCTCTCTCTCTCTCTCTCTCTCGGATATTTGCCATCTACTTGGCACCAAAAATACAGTTCTACTTGTTTTAGGAGTTCATAGCACCATGTGTCTTTTGGTTGGTTGGTTGTTTTATGTGAGAGAAAGAGCGCAAGCAGGGCAAGGACAGAGGAAGACAGGGAGAGAATCCTTAAGCAGGCTTCAGTCTCAGCATGGAGCCCCGCACAGGGCTCCCTCCCAAGATCCTGGGATCATGCGTGACCTGGCGGAAACGAAGAGTCAGGCGCTCAGCCTACTGAGCCACCCAGGCACCCTTGCCCTGTGTTTTAAATGCTCCCAAGAATGCGATAAACTATGACACTAACATTATGTCATTGCAAAGGAGTCCTTCCTAAATGTGTCGCTCTGAATTCTGTCACAAGCAGCCGTTCCTTGCCCCTTAAGTGATTTCTTTCTGCCAAAAATACGTTCCCAGATTTTTATGGAATATTCTGACATGTGAATGCCCCCAACCCTGTGTGGGCGGGCTGCTCTGGAGATATTTAATGGATGGAGGAAAATCTTGCAAATGTTTCTATGGTTTGGAGGAATGAGGTAGTAGAATTTGTACATTTTTGTTTCGTTCATATCAGATCCTTCACATTTTTCTTTGATGATGTCAAGAAATAAAACTTTTCCTTTCTCAAGAGCAGTTGTTTTTGTGGTGTTCACAAAATTAAGTTGTTTTTTGCAAACAGTGCTAACATTTCGCTCTCTACACATATCTGGAAAACATCATTCGTTCAAATATTAAAAATAGGATGCCACTTTTCAGAGCCTAATATTTTTATTAATAAAATGTGTGTCTGTCTTTTTAGTTTTGGTTAACCCCTTATAAACTGGGAATCTGGCAAAATAAGACTTTGACTATGGATATTTAAGTTCTCTCTATACAAATCCCTTTATCTACATTTACTATTTTTCCTGCTGTCTTTTTTTATTTGTTTACTTCACTTTTTACTTGGATATAATTATAGACTCGCAAAAGGGTGCAAAAATAATGCTGAGAGGTTCTGCGCACCCTTCACCCTGTTCAGCCTCTGGTAGCACCTTGCATGCCCATAATACATTATTAAAACTGGAACATTAACATCTTGCTATCTTCTGTAGATTTTTAGTTTCTTGTCAAGTTGCATTATATCGGAAAATTTTGTAACAGTTCACTTATATTGTCTTTGATTTGGCTCTTCTCCCTTTTCTAAATTAACAAGTGACAGAGTCACTAAGCTGCCACCATGCTCATCTGGAATTACAAGCTTACTAAAAAAAATTCTGTGTTTCAGCACACTTAAAAGGAAGTCATTTGTAAGACTTTTGCTGCTTTCTGCGTATACTGCTCCATGTCATTCCGCCCCAAAAAACCTGTAAATTTATACAACCTGTGTATGTGGGTGTTTTGATATATCCTGTGGCCACTGAAATGTTTTCAAAGAGATTGCTATTAAAATGAAAAATATGCAAAGCTTTTTCGTTTGACTGGAGGTTGGGGGGGGGGGGGTCCTAATGCTTGCTTGCTTGCTTGCTTGCTTGCTTGCTTGCTTTCAGAGGAAGAGGGCCTGTGCCTTCAAGCAGGGGAGGGGCAGAGAGATGGGGAGAGAATCCCAAGCACCCCCCTACTGATGAGGTAGGGCTTGATCTCAGGAACCACAAGATCAACTGAAATCAAGAGTCAGTCGCTCAGCTGAGCCACCCAGGTGCCCCTGACTGGGGGGAAAAAGTTTCTAAACATCTAACTATCCAAGTGAGAATACCAGGCATGGTCTGATGGTTCAGAAGCCAGATCTCCCTAGTGGCTGATTCTGGCTCTACATGAATTCTCCTAGCCAGCTCGCCCTTTACTCCACCAGAGAGTAGACAAAGGAAAGAAGTGTAACTCACTTTCTTCAGTCTTAGTGTTGAGAAAAAGTTGATGAGAAGAGAGAATTTGGGATTTTGTGTAGGTATCAATTATGTATGAAGGGGTGGCCCTTCTCCATTATGTATTTATTGTAAATGAGTAGTCAAACACCCTTCTTACTATGGCTTGTTTAGCAAATGTCTTCATCTGCCGTGTACCAAGTACCTAGTGAGACACTGATAACAGGGACACAACAGGATCTATTTTTTAAAGGAGTACTGAGCTCTTACTAAATGCCAGATACTTCACAGATGCTAGGGATCCAAAGGGAAGTAAAAAGAAAGCTGTGTTTTCTTCTCTCATGAAACTTCCTGTCCGGTAAGGGAGACAAATTACCACACAAAAATAACTGCATAATCCTTGTAGGTATGGGAAGGGGAGGGGAGTGGTTCGTGAGGACATCAAGGTAGAATTCAACCTAATCTGGGGTATCAGAAATGGGCTCTCCTAGCAAGAGAACCTTTGAGCTAAGATTTAAAACTGCCTCATCGTGAACTTGATACAGAAGTGAGTAGGGCAAAGAAAAACAAAGACTTCATGACGGAACCCAGAGTCCCAGAGACTGAAAAGAAATGAGGGAGATAATGTGAGAGAGATCTAGAGAATTAAGCAATGACCCACCATACACGGTCTTATAGGTTTGGTAAAGATTCTTACCTTTGCTTCTGAAGTGATACAAACCAACCCAGAAGTTCTTAGTGGGAGTGGCATCAGATTTGTATTTCCAAAAGACCATTCTGGCTTCAGTGTGAAGAATTTGTTCTTTAAATATGTCCTGAGTGCCCACTCTAAGCCTAGTTAGCATCTGCACACGAGTGTGCAGCAGTGAACAAAACAGAAGGATGCCCTAACTTTGAGGATCTTACAGACAGTACACAGCAGTACATAAGATGATGAGAAGCCCGATAAAGAAAATTGGAATCCAGGTGAGAATAAAAAGGTAAGGTGGTGGTGCTATTTTATTAGCTTGAACCATATGAAATTCCCAACCTTTTTTACATTCTTTTCAACTCAGAATGTTGGGTTCATGTGGTTAAACACGGTTGGACAACGTTACATTGTTCAAGCTAATACTTACATGCAAGAGTCAGAGAAGACCTCTAATGAGGTGATCCAAAGAAAGGCAAGCCTTTCAAATACCTAGGAGAAGAGCATCCCGAGCCAAGGGACAGCAAGTGCAAAGACCGTAAAGCAAGAATGTGGCTGCCATGTCTGAGGAGGAACAAGGAGACCATTGTGGCTGAA